GATGCTCTAGTCTAGCTGTTTCAGTTTATATACATATATCAAAGCTGCCCAAACCTTTTCTCCAAAATGAAAATCTATTTGAGGTCTGCGGCCAAATGCAATAATATAATTCACGAAATACAAATACTTCTTAAGTACAGTCCTTTTATTTTAAAGATTATGTCCTGCTGGAGTGGCATGATTTGTTTGTGTACAAACTAATACGGTATCAGATTTTTATATAGTTATACTTCTCATTCAACCACAATTAAATTCATTCCATCTAGGAGGCACAATTTATATAGATAGTATTTTTTTCACAATAACAAGCTGGAATGAAACAAGCAAAAATGAAATAAAACTAACAACTTTCTAATTGTTGCCTTTTTTAAATGTAAGAAGTAAAAAGTACAGATAATTGTGTGAAAATGTAAGAAGTAGAAGTAAAAAGTAGGCTGAAAAATAATTACTCAAGTAAAGTACAGATACACAAAAATTCTACTTAAGTAGAGTAAAGAAGTATTTGTACTTAGTTACTTTACAACTCTGCTCTGGATCATCAYCCCTGCACTGAAAGTTGCCATACAGCTATAATTTTACTGATGATGGCTTTTGTACGTCTTCGGATAAAGACACTGTCCATTTCTATTGCAAATGTACTTTTCTTTGAATTTTTTTTCTCTCAGTCCAAGTGTTGATGGAAAAACCATAAAATCACGTTCTAGGGTAATGTGAGTTATTGGTAAATAAATCGCAATCCAGGTGAAAACGGGCATGATGACTTACCATTAGATCACACCCCATGCTGTCTCTGAGATAATTAGAAGGTCCTTGGATCTAGCAGCCTGAAGTCAGATTTTACTGCCMATGTTTTCACTTCATATAATGCAGCTTCTCTTGAGCTAAATGAAAACATTGTCGGAGCAGTATGTTATGATTTTAAACTGTAATTGACATTGTTTTGGAGTGGCTTCATGGCCTCACGTTGAACTCCTACTTTTCTCTCCAGAACTCCATGTATTGTCTCAGCCGATTAGCCCGTAACTCACCTAAACTTCCTCCCCAGACAATGGCCTGCTCTGCCCATGCAGATGATGGTGTGCCGCATCAAAGCCAAATGAGATGTCTGCCAATTAGGGAGGGGGCTCCAGGTGCATTTCAACRCAAAGTTGCACCAACATCTGCACCCTGTAGCGTCTCCATTCAAAGGCGCTTAATAAAAGAGGCGGACTTCAACAGAAACTTCTGAAAGTGTTTCTGTTATTAAAATAAAAGACAGAGCTCTGTTCGGAGCTTAGCCTGGGTAGAAGGGAAGGGGGTGTAGGGATAAACTTTGTGATGATGTTTCTCTAACTGTTCCAAGCCTGAATTTAAGTTGACTTTTTGCCAGAAGAGTTTGTGTAAAATAGGTTTTTAGTTAAGAAATTTCAACCATCTCATTTATTTACATTACAGACTTAATTGGAAATATTTTTTTCTTAACCTTACAGTTAAATCAACCCAAACACTCCCCAGGGGCAGTGGTGGGCACGGCTATACAAAAAGGTAGGTCGACAAACCAAGTGTACGCTAACTGCTACGAAAACTGTGCCAGTTTTCATCTTCCAATTGAAGACWGGTGGAACTGATGCACTTATTGTCAGTTTTCTATTGGTTTATTCTGAATGTGGGTGGGRTCATCTGTGTCAAAYTGGCCAATCCAAACCAGTTAGAGCTCTGTCTAACTTAATACTTGCAGTTTGACCCTTTCAGAATAAAAGCATTTCTTTGATTGAGTTTGTATTTTTGTAAATACATTTGAAGTTAGTATTTGCTATTTGTTGTTTGGCTTTTCTACCATATTTTATACCTAGTCAATTATTTTTATTTAAATATTGTTAAATGTTATTTTATGTCTTTTTAACGCTCTTAGTTTAAAGTTTAGGTACTAAAGATGCTACTTGTTACATTACATGCTGTTTTGACACATCCAGTACTGCTTATAAAAGGGACTTGTTTTTATTTAATTTGGGATGAATGGCATAATAATAGAAGTTTAAGACTTCAAGTTAGTGGATTCAAATTTAGTGAAAGCTARCTGGAGAGCTAATGGTTTCTAAAGTTAGCAAAAAAGCTAATCTGCCAAATGAAAAGCTAGTTGCGCTATTAGCAGAGTAGCAGAATTGTGCCCACCAATGCCTGTTGGTTACAGTCTGTTAGCCTAGTGCTTCCTACAATGAACACAGAACYAAATATACATCACAAATAATACTGTACCAAAGACAAGCCTTCAACCACAAACTTAGAATGATATAAAGTAGCATAACCTTATCTTAGTATACAGAGGGGGGCTGGATAGATGTAAGCCTCATGTTTAATCACTTGAAATGTTGTTTTATAAAATGCAAAGCGAACAAATGTTTCCTAAAAGAGGGGGGAAAAGGAATCAGGGTTACTACCACATTCATCTGCAAAGCTTTGCACATTAAGTGTTGAAACAGGAAATTCCTCTTTGAACAGTTTTTACACAAAACAGGTTAAGTCATGACTGGGAGAAAAAAGAAAGAAAGAAAGAAAGAAAAAAAGAAAGTCTTCCCTTATGAGTGTATTTCCTGAATCTTCAAATGTGCAGTAGAACACTAAAGTGGCCTTTGAATAACATTTCTGGTTCTTTTTCAAATTAAATCAAGTCACAGCAGACGGGAAGAGCAGTCAGAAGAAGCTTGCTGCAAAAAAAAAAAAAAATCTCGAAGCTCTACCTCGGTGATTGCTCAGGCCACCGCGGAATAAAGATTRGAAGAAAAATCACTAATCACAGCGGATGTCATTAGCATATTACCAATAAGGGGGTGAAAAAGGGAAGAGAGGAATTGCCTTATAATGCTGGATAAAGTGCAAATCAATGCCATGTATGGATGCACGCAGCTGCTTGACAAACAGATATATTCACTCCCAAACATGGGTAAAGGAAGTTGCCTAATAATGATGATTTTTTTTCAATGTTTTTGTCTGAGTCACTCGCTGAAGCACTCGATGCTAATATCACATTCCCCCTCTCTCTTTTGATCAGCTTTTGCAGCTGGGCTACCCTGCCTTACTTGGATGCATCAACAAAGCTTGAAGTGGCCACTCTAATCTGGTTAAGTACTGCCTGGTTGGGGAGAAATTAGCCGAATTCTTTTAACTTTTCAAACAAACATAATGCAGTCAAACTCGCTGGATGAGAATCAATTGCATGAACTGAATATAGGCTGGGTGGTGAGGATGGGTGGGGGAAGGGTGGTGG